GGTCACGGTCACCATGCCAACCCACAGGGAGTAGTGCACGCATGCGATGGCTGCTGTCCTGTTTGGCACTTGCTGCGCTCAAATAGAAGTCTTGCCGGGTGTGCCAACCTTTTAAGAGACGGATACCAGACCGTCTATAAACATTTCTGGTCAGGGACTCGGAATGATTCTGGCTGTGATCGTCGTCCTGAGTGCGACGTTAAAGAATTCCTGAAGAGATGGAGGTGCTCTATAAATTCCTCCTGATCAGCCAGATCATCCGGGTGTAAGGCTCGTTTTCGTACGAGGGTAAATAAGAGTGGACTGGCTGGCTTGCTCGGCTCTGACTTGGGCACAGGGGTGGGCCGATACACACACGAAAACACTGCTTTGCTCAATGATGTTGTCCGAATGGTTGGATTGAGGGGAAGGGTAGATTCCAACTGGTGCTCAACTGTATACACAACCATACCCATCAATCATACATCTGCTACATGGTAATTTTGTACTCTTGATTAGTTGGTGGACAGACTGCTAACACCTCACAAACAGACTAGAGTAGGACTGAAGTATACTACCATAGCCAGTTCTATCTAGTGCTGCTGTAAGTGAACCAATTAGAGTGCAGCTAGACTATGTAGACAATCTGTGTGAATGTTGTAGATATGCCACTTGATCGGTACAGTAAGGGACTTGCCAGACTTAACTATTGTTAGAAAATTAGGTGTCGGTCAGACACATGCTGTGGTAGGATTCCACTAGGGGATTCTAGTGCAGACAATGTTTGCCTAATTCATGAACGGGTCAGACGTCGATGAGGAGGGAGTTGACGATGCTAGACTAACACGTGCTAGATCACTTAGGATCCCGCACGTGTTCCAGGCCCTACAACCGAAAGACGAAAGACGCATTCGTGCCGAACGCAGAGCCCGTGGTCTCGCAGCATCGAGAGAGGCAGCAAACGTTGCAGCTAGGGAACAGGCTGCAGCAGCAGCCAGGGCAACAGCCATGTCTTCTGCAGCAGCATCCTCCACTACATCTTCTGTTGTCTCCTCGTCTGGACTCCAGTTTGGAATGCCAACAGGGTCCACGGGTACTTCCAGTTCGTTAGGTTCTAGGCAGTCTACAAGTCAAATAACGGGCGCGCAGTTCAGCCCGTTGACTTCTCGCGAAAGGGAGCTCAGGGAGCTTCAACAGGTCGAGAGGATCCGTGAACAATTAGACAGGGACCTGAAGAAAGCTACCGATAGAGAAAAGAAAATCAAAAGTTGAACAGCCAGGCTTGAAGCGTTAGAGACTGACAAGGCTGAGTTAGAGGGATTAGACGAATCAGGTTTGTCTGAACCCTTTAAAGTGTTGAAAAACAACATGTTATCGTTGCATGCGCATGTGGACAGCAGGTTGGATTTCATGCAGAGCACTTTGGACCAAATCCTGGACATTTTGACAAGGCCAGGATTTAGGCCACCAGCGCAATCGCCTTTGCCGTTATCGGCGATGTCAGGCCCCTTTCCAGCTCAAGCTGGTACACAACCAAGTGGTACGTCTGCAGCAGTCTCACAGACTGTTGTATCTTCTTCTTCGGGTCCAGCGGTGATTGCTACATCACCGCAACAACCTGTTCCTCAACAGGAACAGCAACAAGGTCATTGGTACCCTAAGACCCCAATGAAACCGCCTCTTGCCTTTTCAGGTGAGAGAAGGGACGAAGAACTCAACACATGGTTGAGGACCGTCCCGGTTTGGGTGAAGGCAAAAAGGACCTTGCCTGAGGTCGAAGTGGTAACTGCGGCATCTTACCTCAAGGGTGAGGCAGCCAAGTGGCTAGATGGAGTAGTTGTAAAGGCCGGGTACGGGCGACGCATGACGGACTGGGCTAAGTCTCTGACGTTAGACCAGTTCATGAAATGGTAGAAGCTCGATGGCATAATCCACAGGAGGCGCAAAGGGCCACTGATGCCCTTAACAAACTAGACCAACGCAAGTTCAAGTCGGTTAGAGAGCTTACGACTACCGTTGAGAGCCTGATCCTCGTTCCAGGCATCAACTACAGTGACCAGTTCCTGTTGACTACTTTTGTCAGATGTCTTCCAGACAACATCAGGAACTTGCTGGCCAACGAGGCACGCACAAAGTACCATTCGTTTAAGACATTGTCTAGGAAGGCTTTAGATTTGGAGTCCACTCTAGGCAATGCTCAACCCACCTCACAAAACGACTCAAAGAAGAAGAAGAGTCCTCAGGAGTGGAAGAAGAAGGGAGCAAAGTTGATGATGGTTGAGTCTGATGGGACTCAAACTGAGATTGACGAACTCTCTGACCTGATGGACTATTCAGAGTATGACGGCGAGGAG